TGTGTGTGTGTGAGAGAGAGAGAGAGAGAGAGAGAGAGAGAGAGAGAGAGAGAGAGAGAGAGAGAGAGAGAGAGAGAGAACTGTACTTAGCCAGCTGAGGCAAACTCTGTGTAATTTAGCAAGCTTTGTAGTGGACATCCCTTCACACTTGTACTTAGAAGAAATTCCTTGCAAATCTTGCAGATTGCATCATTCTATTGCTGATCATTCTTCCTTGCCCTCTTAGCTGCAATCCTACCTCAATAATTAAGATAAAGAGGACAAACACAGACTTCCCTAATCTAAAGGAGAGATACACACCTTTTAAGGATACAAGGCACAAAACCTGATAGACACACTTTTAGTAAAGGGTCACTTCACAAGATTCCCAGATTATTATTAATCAGATAGGTCATGCCCAGTTGCCACCTAATAGGGACCCACTCTTCCCTAAACATATCCTTGACTGAGGTTCCACTGTCTAATGGTCTGATCAAGTCTTTGAGGAGATGTATTGGCAAATGTTATTTTTTATTCTCCTCCGTGGGAAACTGGATCCTGAGTAACAATCTCAATCACCCTGAGCCAGTGAGAAAGACATGCAGTTCCCATCCTATCAAATGAATATACAAGAAGGATTCAAAAGGTTGTGTTTTGAGGTTAATACACGTGGGCACAAATCACAAGCTCTTTAACGTATAAATTTAGCATGCAACAGGCTGAGAACTTGGCTTCCCAAGTAGGTGAACATTTCAGAAAAAGATGCTTGCTTGTGTCAGAAGATATAGTTGATATTTAGAAAAGAAACATTACTTCCACAAAACTCACTCTATCTCTATCTCTCTATCTATCTATATAACAGCTTGTCCTGATTATATAACATAGTCATAATAATTATTGTATAAATGTAAAAGAAAACATATAATAATAATATCTGTATGGGGAAAATGCATTTTAGAACAAAGCTTCATTATCTCTACGGACAGCTTCTTTTGGTAGCTCAAGCTCTCGAAATCACCCTTGTTTTTGCAAAGGTTCATTTGTAACCTACAGAATCTATGTACTGTTGACAGTGAAGTAGAATAAACTTAACAGGTATGAGTGTGTATGCCTATGTGTACACGCACACACAGATTTATCTGGCTCTGTGTCCTTTAATAACATTAGCCAAGCAAGTAGGCAAAATTGCATTTGAGATCCCTTTTTTAAAATTTCGGATAACTCTTTTTTTGTATCAAAACAATATTTCTACTGCAGTCTCACAGCACCTTCAGTAGATCTTCTTTAAGAAAAAACCAGTGTAAGGTTGCCTCTGTTATGCACTGCGAAAAACACTGAGTTACATGAGTTAAAATGCAGAAGTCGAATAGTGGCAAACACAACACGTGGAGGCTTCCAGAATAGCAGTGTCTCATGTGTGTGTCTATGAAAAATCTAAATCCCACCAGCATGGGATACTTATATGGCTGTGAGATGAGCTAGACTGAATAAATCAAGGAAGGGAAGATCATTTTGATACACACACACGGACGTGCGCATACACACACACACACACACACACACACACACACTTGTGCATACATACACATACACAAGTTTTTAACTATAACACCCCTCAAAAAAATATCCTCACTGTTCTCATTAGTTTCTACCAATGTCTGTGTACCAATCTAGAGATTCTGGAAATCCTACAAATACTTTTCAGCTTTGATCCACAACACTTCCTTAAGAACTAAGCATAAACAAACTCAAGGAGGAATTAAATTATTTCCTAAAGGAAAATGATAATGGAGTAACCACGAAACAAAACCTTTGGGATACAATGAAGGCAGTAATAAGAGGCATAACAATCTCTTATAATGCCAAGAGGAATAAGGAAAAATATGCCCAGCAAGATAAATTACAACAAAAAATTAAGGAACTAGAAACCCATTTACAGAGTACCCCAAAGGATTCCAAATTGCAAAATCAGATAATGATAGCTAAACATAAATTGAATTTAATTGAACAAGGGAAAATGATTATAAATTTGAATTTGACTAGACAAACTTATTTCGAGCATGCTAATAAGCCAGGAAGATGGCTATCTTATAAACTAAAACAAAGGAAAGAAAAGAGATTGATATATCAGCTAATAGATGGTAAAGGGGATATACAGCAGGAGATAGAACAGAAAAAAGAAATTGCTCATAAGTATTTTGAAGATTTATATAAAAAGGAAGATGTTAATGAGGATAGAATAAGAAACTATTTAGATGAAGTGAAGGATAAAGCAATTGGAGAAGAAATGGTAGAACTATTAAACAAAGACATTACTTGGTTGGAATTGAAATCAGCAATAGAAAACCAGAAAAACAACAAAACCCCGGGACCAGATGGGATTCCAGGGGAGCTGTACAAGGCAATTGCAGAACAAATTGGACCTCTTATGGTAGAAGTTTTTAATGATGTTCTATTGGCAGCCAGGATGCCGGACTCATGGAGGGGGGCATTGATCTCACTGATCCTGAAGGAGGATTCGGACCCTCGGTATATAAACAATTATAGGCTGATTTCACTGTTAAACACCGACTACAAAATATTTACTTCTATTATAGCAAGCAGATTAAAAAGAATGCTAAACGCGCATATACATGAAGACCAAAATGGATTTCTCCCGACCAGACAAATCAGGAACAATTTAAGAACAGTACCAGATGTCTTAGAATTTTATGAAGCTCACCCCGAAAAACAAATTGCACTTATGTTTTTAGATGCAGAGAAGGCCTTCAACAATTTAAATTGGCAATTTTTAATGCAAAAAAATTATAATATGAATCTAGGCACCAAATCTGAAAATATTATAACAACTATTTATGATACACAACAAGCTAATATTTTAATAAACGGGGAATATACCCGCCCAATAAAAATAGAAAAAGGAGTCAGACAGGGCTGCCCACTCTCACCCCTGCTCTTCATATTATCATTAGAAACATTATTAATGCGAATTAGACAGAACCCAGATATAAAAGGATTAAAGGTTAAGAAAGAAGAATATAAGTTGCAAGCGTTTGCGGACTATATGATTTTTTTTTATTGAGGAACCAATAGAAAGAGGACAAAAATTGATGAATGAATTAGAACAATTTGGAGCAGTAGCAGGACTCAAAATTAATAGGAAGAAAACTAAATTAATGACTAAAAATTTAACAGAAAAACAGAAAATAGAGTTAGAAGAAGTTATGGAAATACAAGTGACAAAGAAAGTTAAATACTTAGGAATATGGTTGACGGCACATTGTAAGACACTCAAGGAAAATAATTATGATAAATTGATGCAACAGGTAAAGAAGGATTTAGAATCATGGGGTAAGCTGCAACTTTCATTATTAGGCAGGATAGCTGCCATTAAAATGAATATTCTTCCAAAATTTCTATATCTATTTCAGACGATCCCAATTAAATTACACATTTTTTTTTGAAGAACTCAACAAAATAACTGTTAAATTTATTTGGCAAGGGAAAAAACCTAGAATAAATTTAAAGGCAATGCAGGATATGAAGAGCAGGGGAGGACTGGCACTACCAAATTGGGAGTTGTATTATATTGCTGCCTCTTTAGTATGGTTGAAGGAATGGGTGAATTTAACTAACAAGAGAATACTATTTTTAGAAGGCCATGATCTGCAGAGGGGGTGGCACGCTTTCTTATGGGATGTAGGGAAAA